TCTCAAACGGCCGGTCCGAGGTGGAATGGCGGTCTTTATGTGCAATAACAACGAAACGTCCGAGATCGGAGTGCATTCTCTGGTTGTATATTGGTTTATCATTCATTTCGTGACGAAAAGTTTCATGTTCACACTCCGTCTTGTGTCGTCATATTGCCATCCACCATCATATTGTGTTACAAACATAACAGTCACAATACATGGTGTTAAATTATACTAGTTCACTTTTATAACAGTTTGGTAACGATTCCAAAAATTTATTTTGTAAATTATTATGTACTAGTGTACCTGTTGCTCGAATTCGAGCAATTGCGAAGTATTACAGGCGTTATTTTAAAACGAATAACAGTCATAATTTCCGATGACTTTATAAGAGTGGACTCAAAGATTATGGAAATACTTACGATGTGTTCAGTTAGACATAATCAGATTTTTTTGTAAATATCTTATCTTTTTCAAAAGTTGATCTTGTTTTTTAGTGTTTTCTACAAATGTTTCCCACTCATAGCCGCATAGCTCGCATTAGGTTGCCTGTAATAACGATTATAAATGAAAATAAAACATTATTTGTGTTTCTTCTACTTGGTTGTGTTCAATGACGTTTCTATGTTTCCATTGTTTGCAAATCGGCTCTTTCAATGATTGCTCAAGGAATGTAGCACAGTGTTAATTCAGTTTTATTTTTAGTATATCAAATTGTTTAGAATTTCTCGCTTTTGTCCATTGTAATAATTACACCAACCCAAGTACCATCTACAGATGCAATACGCCAAAGAATATCGTGTACGTACAACACGAATAAGTACAATCTCCAAGAAGTGATAAAAAAGGCAGAAACCAACCCATACAATAGATATAAGTTTACTACTGTGATATTTTCCACTGATTTGGTAATAGAACATTATACAGTATTGCAAAACATGACACGATGCAAAAGAAATAGTATATTTCGTACCTAGGGCTGAAAATGAGGTTTTGCCGGCTCGAGATAGTTTTTAAGTTCGAGACGAAGTCGAGAACTTAAATCGATCGAGAGCTGCAAAACCATTTCGGCCCGTGGTACGAACGCTATTTTTCACCACACTATACCCTATTACCACTATTCAACACTATAATAATGCACACTGATGGTCAACACAACTACAACTTTAAGGTTATGTAAAGAAATAATTTGAGGAATCAGCAAAAATAAAAATAAATAGTTGCTAGGCAAAGGCGACAATAACACAATTCTATTGCAATGCTATGGATTTTGATTGTGTATTTAAAATGCATTCATGTTTTAAGTAAGTAAGCGGACAGCTGATTTTGCGGCCCCGGCCTGTAAAAACCTGCTCGGTCCCCAAATTTCGATGACAGCTGGCATGGCCAGCAAAACGTAACTTTCAGCCACCAATTAACGTATGTAATACAGCCAAAAACATCATAGTGTGGTGAAAATACATTTTAAAATCTGAAAAAAAAACACTGCAAATACTTCATTTTGACAGATTCAGTAAATCACAATTTAAAAATTAATATTAACAGCTGTTTCATTAAGTAAGAGTAGTGAAAATGTATGCATACGGTCGTAATGTAAACAAATCTGAAGAGGGAACTTTAAAGGCCTCTCGGGCAGAGCACCAAGGGAATTTACCTCGTTTCTCTTTTGATGGCTCATCTACAGACCAAGACCTTTCTTTAGAGACCACTACCAAGTTTCTATGCCCAGCCGTTCTCTGAAATTAGCTGTGACAAAAACCCGTTTTCCCTCCATAAGAATAACATGGGATGGGAATATAAAGGTCACTGGGGCAGAGCCCCAAGGGAATTTACCACGCTTTTCTTTTGTTGGCTCATCTACAGACCAAGGTCTTTCTTTAGAGACCCCTACCGAGTTTCTAAGCCCAGCCGTTCTCTCAAATTAGCTGTCACAAAGAAAAACAGTTTCAAATTAATATATAGATATTAAGTGAACCAAGTAGCGCCAGCATATTTTTATTTTGTTGTAATATTGATCAAGTTTGTATATTATATTATGTGTTCGTTTTTTAATACAATCTTTTGCATCATTTTAACTAAGCTGTGAGTTAAATCTTATTTGAGTATGAAAAACTTAGGTAAAGATATACCCCATACTCCTCTCAGGAATATGACAGCTTAATCAAATACATATACATACACCTTATAAAGTTGCCCTTATTGTAGGGACGACAGCCCATATATACAAGTTACGCGGAAGACGAAGCAGCTGACAACTCTGTTACTCCCACCTTGTTGTCTGCTTGAAACTTCTCTGTCTTGCATCGGTTTGATAATTGAAAAATAATTATTATTATTTTAATCCATCAAACTATTTGAAGCTATTCAGTACTTTTTCAACTGCTATCTGAGATTTTAGATGACTATTTTACTAATCAAAGCCGAGTTAGGTGACACTAAAGTTTTAACATAATAGCTAAACGCGATTTAAATTGACAACATAAAACGTAAAGTGTCATGAGAGTGTTATCAGTAACAAGATTAGATTTCTGAATACATAATGTAAACTATTGCTTCCAAAATGTTTCATAATTACCTAACGATTTAAAATCGTTGTATTTACAATAGCTTATTGCTTATAGCTTATTTATTATAGCTCGTGTTGTTAACATCTCTTCGTGATGTATTTATCACTCACTGTACGTACATAGCTTGATTTAGTTTAATCTATATAAAAAGAAAAGCGCCAAAACGTCATTCTGCAAACCCCTAACATTAATTGAATGGCTGTGGTTCATCATGTGCGTCTGCCAGTCAGCGAAACGTGTCTAATTTAATTGCGTTTGCCAGCAAAAGAGAGTGTTCTTGCACCGGAGATAATTAAAGAACCCCTACTCCCATCCCTAGAATGCAAGCGTAACCATACCCTAAGATTAAACAATCAACGGCGGGCTAACTATTTAGTTCAATTTGATTACGTAGCATGGCTTCAACACTAGGTTTTTGTTGGATTTTAAATAAATTATAATATTTCTTATATATCCAATTATTCATTTTTACTTTTAATCGTGTAAATTGACTTCTCATCCTATTGTAAATCTGAGGAATATATTAACTATATGTCATGTTTGTGACGTTTAACTCTTACTAGTGCGATTGAAGGGCAGTAATTCTCCCCTCCTAAAAAACCATCAACACACACTCTACTGAAGATTTAAAATATTTTTACTTATGTTAAATCTTTTATTATTAACACAACTTCTGTATCCAATAGTCAATGGTTAAAATCCAATTTTACGTTTGGAATAAATCTTTTTTGGATGGAAATTTGAGGTCATAGAAGGTTATCCGGGTTTGCACCCACAAGGAGTTTGCATAATGGCTCCAACTCACAGTATACAGTTATATGTAATTGCCGCTAATTTTATCATACTTGTGCTGCACCTAAAGGTCTGCTCGTTGCTTGTTAGTTCCCTCCCCACGTCTCTGTACTGCTTAATATTCTGTCTAAGAGCCACGCTGCTGTGCTGTTTACGTGTTTACTATCCTACTTGTGCTGCACCCAGAGGTCTCCTTGTTGCTTGTTAGTTCCCTCCCACGTCTCTGTACTGCTTGATATTCTGTCTGAGAGCCACGCTGCTGTGCTGTATACGTGTTTACTATCCTACTTGTGCTGCACCCAGAGGTCTCCTTGTTGCTTGTTAGTTCCCTCCCCACGTCTCTCTACTGATTGGTATTCTGTCTGAGAGCCACGCTGCTGTGCTGTATACGTGTTTACTATCCTACTTGTGCTGCACCCAGAGGTCTCCTTGTTGCTTGTTAGTTCCCTCCCACGTCTCTGTACTGCTTAATATTCTGTCTAAGAGCCACGCTGCTGTGCTGTATACGTGTTTACTATCCTACTTGTGCTGCACCCAGAGGTCTCCTTGTTGCTTGTTAGTTCCCTCCCCACGTCTCTCTACTGATTGGTATTCTGTCTAAGAGCCACGCTGCTGTGCTGTTTACGTGTTTACTATCCTACTTGTGCTGCACCCAGAGGTCTCCTTGTTGCTTGTTAGTTCCCTCCCACGTCTCTGTACTGCTTGATATTCTGTCTAAGAGCCACGCTGCTGTGCTGTTTACGTGTTTACTATCCTACTTGTGCTGCACCCAGAGGTCTCCTTGTTGCTTGTTAGTTCCCTCCCACGTCTCTGTACTGCTTGATATTCTGTCTGAGAGCCACGCTGCTGTGCTGTTTACGTGTTTGCTATCCTACTTGTGCTGTACCCAGAGGTCTCCTTGTTGCTTGTTAGTTCCCTCCCACGTCTCTATACTGCTTGATATTCTGTCTGAGAGCCACGCTGCTGTGCTGTTTACGTGTTTACTATCCTACTTGTGCTGCACCCAGAGGTCTCCTTGTTGCTTGTTAGTTCCCTCCCACGTCTCTATACTGCTTGATATTCTGTCTGAGAGCCACGCTGCTGTGCTGTTTACGTGTTTGCTATCCTACTTGTGCTGTACCCAGACGTCTCCTTGTTGCTTGTTAGTTATTTATTTATTTATTTATTTATTTATCATACGGTAAACACCATTTTTACAATCGATAATACATGAGGGCAATACAATAAAATATTTATAAATATATATAAGTCAGATTCAGATTCATCTTGCTGAAAAAAAAAAGATTGCTAACATGAAAAAATGACACCAACAGAATTGTCCAAAAATGCTTTAACAAAAATTGGATCATGCGTATTATAAATCCTAGTTAACAAGCATAAACATTTTTAGAGAAAAATACGATTACCAAAACTAGATAACAATTGATAAATATTTCAATATAATAACAATAACAAGCAAAAATATAAATATATTTGACAGACAAGACAAAAAAAAGAGAAAAAATGACAACAATTAATAACAGTGACGTAAACTAAGTGAAAAATTTTAACAGTGCAATACAAATTTATCTGAATGTGCAAACAACAAACAAGGTGCAAATTCCGGACAGTGATCTCAGGACAATTTCTCATCAACAAAATAACAATAACAATAACAACTTAAACTATGATATTTTTTATGGCTTTCAGTTTGCAGGTGAACACGTCAACATGTTGGCATGCTTGATTTCCAATTCTGTGGAGCCGTGGAATTGTACTGTGGAAGGCGTAGTTTGTAGAAAAAGAAGCTTTGTTGAAGAGTTGAATGTGCCTGAAGTGTCGAGGAACGTGGAAATTAGTTAGGCGAAGTATTTCTGGAGCATCAACTTCGCCGTTCAACAACTTCCAGAGGAAAGACAGGTCTGCAGATTGTCTACGGTCACTCAGTCGAGGAAGGCCCATATCGATGCGAATATCTTCAATCGGCACTGTATAGAATTCATGGCCCAACTTGACGCCAATAGAGCGAAGAAAGCGATTCTGAATTTTTTCTACTCTTGATATGTGGCTGATTTGATGTGGATTCCATATCAAGCTGCCATATTCCAGCACAGGCCTAACCTGAGTCATGTAAAGAGTTCTCAGAGCATTAACATCAAGTCCGTATCTACCACATCTAATGACAAAACCTAGAGCTTTAGAGGCTTTATTGCAGATTGTATTTATGTGCAGATCTGGGTTTAAATCGTATGACATTAAAACTCCTAGGTCTCGTATGGCATTCTTCCGTGGCAGGATGGCATTATTCATCGTGTAGTAGAAGTCAATACGCTGCTCGGTACGGTGATAAGATACCACTGCAGACTTTGAAACATTGATATCCATGCTGTTATCCAGGCACCAGTTGTCGATTGAGTGCAAACATTGTTGAAGGGTGGAACAGTCTGCCTGAGATTTTATACACTTGAAAACCTTGATATCGTCAGCAAACAGCAAGCACTGAGAGTCGATACTATCCACAACATCGTTAACAAATATATTGAAAAGAAATGGACCTAGATGAGTTAGTTCCCTCCCCACGTCTCTGTATTGCTTGAAATTCTGTCTGAGAGCCGCGCTACTGTACTGTGTACGTGTTTGCTATCCTACTTGTGCTGTACCCAGAGGTCTGCTCGTTGCTTGTTAGTTCCCTACCCACGTCTCTCTACTGTTTGGTATTCTGTCCAAGAGACACGCTGCTGTGCTGTATATGTGTTTCCTATCCTACTTGTGCTGCACTAAGAGGTCTGTTCGTTACTTGTTAGTTCCCTACCCACGTCTCTCTACTGATTGGTATTCTGTCCAAGAGCCACGCTACTGTGCTGTTTACGTGTTTGATATCCTACTTGTGCAGCACCCAGTGGTCTACTTGTTGCTTGTTAGTTCCCTCTCCACGTCTCTCTACTGATTGATATTCTGTCCAAGAGCCACGCTACTGTGCTGTGTACGTGTTTGATATCCTACTTGTGCAGCACCCAGTGGTCTACTTGTTGCTTGTTAGTTCCCTCTCCACGTCTCTCTACTGATTGATATTCTGTCCAAGAGCCACGCTACTGTGCTGTTTATGTGTTTGATATCCTACTTGTGCAGCACCCAGAGGTCTGCTTGTTGCTTGTTAGTTCCCTCTCCACGTCTCTCTACTGATTGATATTCTGTCTGAGAGCCGTGCTACTGAGCCGCATATGTGTTTGCTATCCTATTTGTGCTGCACCCAGAGGTATTCATGTTGCTTGTTAGTTCCCTCCCCACGTCTCTGTACTGCTTGATATTCTGTCTGCTGTGCTGTACACGTGTTTGTTAATCTTTAGCCTACTTTTACACCCTTAAGACTTAAACTTTGAAACTTTAAGGTCATGAACGCTTGCCTCAGTATGCAAGAACGGTTGTGTGACACAAAAGTTTATTTTATACGATTTACGTGATGTTTTATTGTTTGTAATATGGGTAACTGTTCTTGTTGCTATGAAATGTTTAAGGTATATTGTGTGTGAATTCCATCACGATTTACCTATGGGACGATAAGCATAAAATATCTAAATAACGTACTTAAACATTTTGTGCATGTTATTACCCGTACTATTAATTTGTTCGAGTTTGTGTGCCGCAAGTAGAGTACTCATCCTACGATAAAATTTTAATAATGTATTTATGTGTGTTTCATTACCAGTTACCGTTAAGTGCCTTATTGTTGTGAAAATTGTCTTTCTCTTTATATTACAATTTTCAGATTGAAGCGCTGATTTATCTTTGAAAGTCATTGTACGGGATGAGTTCGATTTAAAAATAAATTGTAATTTTTTGTGGTTAATGCTCACATCTTGGTAAAATAATAAGAAATAAGTTGAAAATATAAATACCTTGACAGAAACACACCATAAAATTGCCTTCAATTCATAATGATCATAAGCTCAAGGGGAGTATTTTATTATGATTTTATATCTACCAATAATTATAAGTATGTACAAGGTAACGAACAAATACTTTTTGTTCATGCAACTATGTTAAATACAGCATCAGAAATGTTCAGAAATGTAGGCTTCTACGGTAATCGTAGTTTCCTGTAAACATGTGAAAGGAAATGGAAGAGCAGCTTGTAATTCAAGACGCGCTGACCTGGGATGATTCAATTCCACGATGGTTTATGGCAGCAGTGTATTACAAATGTACAGCGTTGATTTATCGTTCACAGTCCGAGGTTCCCAGTCCACACCTCGACTCTCCAGATTTATGTTCCAAGTCCACCGTTCCCAGTTCTTTAGCTGGAAATTCATTATCTTCGTTACTTGGTTGAGTAAATACCTAACATGTGCTTTTATACTAGATTTGTCTTTAAATAATAATGTGGAGTCCATGCAGCACGGGGTGGAATTGGGTATAGGTTTTTTTTATTTCCAAACGGATATTTTTTTAGCATTACTAGATATTCCTTAATTTGTATCCAGAATACTTATTTAATGAAATATTAAAAAAATAAACGCGTTATAGTCATAACACATTAACACAGGTGAAATTCTTTCCCTCGGTTACACTTTTGGTATGACAAGGGAATGTATTCATAATTACTAACTTTAATACTTGAATATAATGTACTCTTGTTTAAATCACAAAGCTCTTCATGTCTAGGTTTCATATTTGGTTGCTAAACGGGAACTATCAACATTTCCTCGCAGTAAATCAGTTCCTGGAAATGTTTCCTATCCATACTTAAAAGTTTGCTATCTGCTCTTAAGATGCGTTTTACATTATGAAACCAATTTAAAGTGTAATTTTATAAAATAACCTCTATGTAACTATAAATATTAGAATAAGTAGGCCTATTATATGCTACACAATGTAAAATTGTCAAGCAATCAATCAATAAATTAATACATGACTCCCATAAAAATCGCAAAATTAAGTTGCTCTTTGTTTGTAGCCATTGTACAATATAAAATGTCATATCGAAGTCGTACTGGTACCGAGAACCGAAAATAGATTTAGAACAGGAACCGGTCCGCTACCAACTTTCAAACTATGGCACCGATTTTTCAGGAAAATGATCATTAAATGAATTTAAATCGTAGCGCTCCATTTCCAAACATGAAGAATGTTCTGTGTTCAATCTAAAACAAGAGAAACGTTGAAAGAATTCTGAGATAGTTATTGCATTCTCAAAGATAAAGAGAGCTTCTCATAGTCTGTTATTTTATGATTTTTCTGGGTGTTATAGGTACATATAGTACATACTGATTGGAAAAGGATAATGGAGGTTCTATACTTGCAATAGGTTCCCCATTAAGTTCGGGTTGGTTACAAATTTGGCGAATAAAAACTGTATTTTACAATAGCAAACTGGTCAGTGGCTCCATTAATTTAACGACATCCTAAAACTGGCTAGAACTAGCAAAGGAACAAAATAGAATGTTACCTTCACAGTAGTGAATAATATAGCAAAATGTGATAATGTTATAAAACCAGATAAAATATTGTATTGTAATTACTTCTGAATGCTTAAATTAACGATGTCTGTATTTGTATTTGTTAGTCAATTTGTCACGCTGATTCCATAGTCTTTATTGTTTGGTGCGAGTTTGATATCGTATGATATTCCCATATAAATCAGATATTAAGAAGTTTTCAAAGTTTATAAGGAAACTAGCAAAGTATCCGTCCTTCGTCCGGGGTTGATGTATTTTTCAATTGTGCTTTTTGAAATCTGAAATGAAAAACAGTGTAAAATAAGATTCCAATAATTGTACCTATCAAAAACTTTTAACTTACTAATTACATAAAAAAAAACATTTTCTAACAATAAAACAAATAAAAAACTCAAAGCTTTTACTTACTTGATAAAATCAAACATGGACAAACAATAATTTACAACACATGGTTAATATTACAGTTTGAACGAAAAGATACATGACAGACTCTTACTAAGTTTTACGTATTTGTAAGCCTAAATTTTGTAATCATAACTTAGTATCATCCTACTTTGTGTGTGATAAACATTACCACCTTACCATGTATTTCGCTATTTTATTTAAAAACTATTTATCTCATCCACTAACATCTATCAAACTGAGAACATATCTTTTAGCAGGCCCAATCAGAAAATATCACAAGACATGGTTAAAAAATACAAAACCACTGTCTCAGTTGGAAAGATACAAGCAATAACAATTAGAGAATATAGGGCGAAGGGATTCAAGGGATTCAAAGTGGTTTGGAGCCGTTACATTTTATGATTGTAGGCATAAAACCAGGATAATTACATAATCGCCGGGCAATGATAATGAGCATTTCTGTAGGTAATTTTGATTATTGATCATTCGCCCAAACGACTGTTGTGCTTAAAATGATACTATGGAACTAGGAGGCCAATATTTTTAAGGTTAACATTAAGTTACCATATTTTAGTAGTGATGACTAATTAACAGCTCGTAGAGCATAAAAAGTTCAAAATCTCATTTAACATTCATTATTAGTATAGTTTCAGGGGAATGCATCACAACAACTAAAATCCCCCCCCCCATCCTTCATATCACCTTAAAAATATAAAACAGCAACATAAGCTGAAATTTCGTACAAAGATAATTTACATACGTTAGTTTTTTAAGAACCACACACATTATCCAACAACATGAAAATAATGGAAATCCATTCAATATCTCTGGGAAAATGTTTATAACTACTACACTACCGTAGTGCTAAATAATATGGGATACATTTCCATCAATACTGCTCTTATAAAATATCCCCCATTTAATGACTCTTTTGGCCATTACTGCCTTTCTCTCACGGGAAGTTAGGAGTTGGTTGTTGCCTGTAAAATACCAAATGTTTGTGTTAAGTTGAAATCACCCTTTTGTCTTTATTTGACCCTATTATTTTACTGCATCACTCTCGTCTGCAGGTTTATACGTATGGCTGCATTAGCGACCTCTCTAGTTTATTGTAGAAGCTCCGTCTTTAGCACTACTTCTCCGAGTCGTTGGGATCCTAGTGGATAAGTGGGTCAATTACACATTTACCAAAATATCTAAAGAATTTAAGTTAATTAAAATTAAATTGCATTGATTTTTTGTCATTGAATTTGACATTACTCGCCTTAAATATGTGGTTGGTGTGTTATGTGGGAAAGTGTTATCATTTTTTTATTTAGTTTCACTTAGCTTTGGTGAAAATCTTAAATTATATTTAATTGTCTTACTTATGGCTAAGCTACATACAAATTTGCTACAAATTTATCCTACAAGTAAAAAATAGTACCGAGTCTATTGCGTTTGAAAATTGGAGCATAGGCCTAATTTGATTAAATTCAGGTTAAGTTTGTCTGTGTAATTAATGATCGGTGTAACTGTTTTCCA